TCCTTTTCGGCTGAGACCTTCAGTCGTCTTCGGCTGAGACCTCCACGTCCTTTTCGGCTGAGACCTTCAGTCGTATTCGGCTGAGACCACCACATCCTTTTCGGCTGAGACCTTCAGCCGTCTTCGGCTGAGAACTCCACATCCTTTTCAGCTGAGATCTTCGCGCCCTTTTCGGCTGAGGCCTCCGCGTCCTTTTCGGCTGAGACCTTCAGTCTTCTTCGGCTGAGACCTTCACGCCCTTTTCGGCTGAGACCTTCACGCCCTTTTCGGCTGAGACCTTCACGCCCTTTTCGGCTGAGACCTTCATGCCCTTTTCGGCTGAGACCTTCAGCCGTCTTCGGCTGAGAACTCCACATCCTTTTCGGCTGAGACCTTCGCGCCCTTTTYGGCTGAGACCTCCGCGTCCTTTTCTGCTGAGACCTTCAGTCTTCTTCGGCTGAGACCTTCACATCCTTTTCGGCTGAGACCTTCAGTCTTCTTCGGCTGAGACCTTCACGTCCTTTTCGGCTGAGACCTTCAGTCGTCTTCGGCTGAGACCTCCACATCCTTTTCGGCTGAGACCTTCAGTCTTCTTCGGCTGAGACCTTCAGTCGTCTTCGGCTGAGACCTTCAGTCGTCTTCGGCTGAGACCTCCACCTCCTTTTCGGCTGACACCTTCAGTCGTCTTCGGCTGAGACCTCCACGTCCTTTTTGGCTGAGACCTTCAGTAGTCTTCGGCTGAGACCCCCACGTCCTTTTCGGCTGAGACCTTCGTGCCCTTTTTGGCTGAGACCTCCACGTCCTTTTCGGCTGAGACCTCCACGTCCTTTTCGGCTGAGACCTTCAGTAGTCTTCGGCTGAGACCTTCAGTAGTCTTCGGCTGAGACCTTCAGTAGTCTTCGGCTGAGACCCCCACGTCCTTTTTGGCTGAGACCTTCAGTCGTCTTCGGCTGAGACCTCCACGTCCTTTTTGGCTGAGACCTTCACGTCGTCTTCAGCTGAGACCTCCACGCTGTCCTCTACTGAGCCAAAGGGTACCTGCTCCGCCAAGCCAAAGGGGTCCAGCTTCGCCGAGCCCTCTGTTTCCAGCACTCCCTGGGACGAGACCACTTCCTGTGTTCTCTCAGCCTCATCTCGCCGCCGTCGGAGGAGGAACGTGGCTGCTGCCTCAGGGCAGGTTCTGACTGTCCCACCTCCCTGCTTCATCAACTCAAACAGAACGATAAAATCTAGTATTCTGAAGAAATATGGAGAAGCATAAGTGAATTAATGCTAATTGTTGTTTTGAATTGGTGTTTTAAATTTAGCTTTATTTTGTGTGTTTTCAGTTGTTTTGATTTTTGTTGTAATTTACTTTTATTTTGAACATATTTTGGGTTTAAAAAAAGGGCAGATATGATAAGATTTATTCTTCTGCTGCCTTTCATTTTATTTTGATTGCATGGTTTTTTGTTGTGTATTGTTACAAATAAAAATGAGTAAATGATTAAAGAAAGAACTAGTATTCAGATTCTGGGGTTTCTGACGGTCACTGAAGGTGTATATATACATACAGTATATGTAAGTATTGATGTTTGTATGTATATATATGTGTACGTATATCTATATATGTATGAGTATATGTGTGTATGTTTCAGCAAGTTATTATTATTATACAGTATTTCTTCTCTTTTATAAAAAAAAAAAGTCCCTGATCATGAAGAAACTAGTATTGAGTTCTGTTTTCTACTGAAGTGGCTTATAAAAAGAAAAAAAAGAGCTGACCTGTTATAACAAAACAGACAAACATTGTAATACAAGTTCAAATATTTATTTAACGGTTAGTTACTTACAGTAGATCTTTTYCCCCTTACATAAAATCACTAGTACAAGAAAAACAAAATGTTGCAGAACACTCTGATCTTTCTGTGACCTGCTGAAGTTACAACATGGACATTTCAGACGGTTAACGTTGTGCCGTCAGCCTGAAGACAGAAAACTCAACCAGAAACCAAACCAGGCAGCTCAAACAAGTGTGGACATCAGCAGTGGTGTGCACAGTTCCACTTATATCAAAGCAAACATTTCATTTAGCAGATAAGTTGTTTTTTTTTTGCTAACTTGGCAAGCCATTAGTGGACCAGTAAGCTTCTACTAAATTTAGTTCTGCTAACAAAGTTGAAAACAAAAACAGCTAACCCCTGCACACCTGCTGGAAGGAGATAAAACGTGTGATGCAGTTTGAGTGATAGTCATCTTCATCCAGTCAGATCCTTGTAATCTAGTCAGAAAAGATCATTTCAGTGACAAATAGCGATTATCAGTTAGCGTTAGCTTCCACTAATGGTTTGTAATGCAAATTAGGGGTTAGCAAAGCTAACTTATTGTTTAGCTGTGCCCACCACTGGATAATTGTAATGATGGAAAAATGTTTCCAGTTAGCCATCACATTTTACAACATGTAGAAATGAAACAATCAACTCTTCGCAGATGGCTAAAACTTGCAAATGTCCCTCAAGTAAATCATTACTTATCTTCTGCTTGTTCTGCTAAAAGGAGACACTAAGTTACACATTCTTTAAAAGCTTAAACAAAAGGTTACATAAGCTGTGTCGGCTGGCACTACCAACAGTTCATGTCTGTGCAAAGAATCGCTTTGTGTTGTCRAACTCCAACAGACGAGGACAGGAGATACAGAGAACAATCATATGAAGACGACAGAGCAGAACATCCCGACCTGAGCCCTGAGTCAGTGCTTGAATTAAAGTCACTCAAATGGATTTTAACACATATCTGCTCAAACACGTCACTGACAGTACTGTGTAACTAACATACAACTATAGAGACAAGTCCCTCTTGGCTTTTTTTTTTACTGGATAAAAACAAACGTTAGCATGGCTGAAAAATGCTGGGACAGAGCATTCAACAGTTTCACTTTAATAAGAATGATCTGGTCTTTACCAGGTTCTAAAACACTCCAGACTAACCTCAAAGTGACCCAAAAACCAACAGGTACCATCAAAAAGTCCATGTTCTGTTGCAGGTCAGCTGCTGTTTGGGATCATTGCTCTCTTGGGCCAAACTGGAGCAAAATCCTGTAGATGGGCAGATCAGAGTGGTGGAACCAGACCACTCTGATCTGCCTCTCCAGACCCTGTAGACCCAGATCCTTTGGTTTTAAGAGTTGTTCATGGTTACAAAACAAGCCCACATCCGTACACCTCCACCACCTTGCTGACAGAGATTTGGAAATTTTTCATGGGAATAAAATTGGAATTTATATGAAAGTGAAGAAATTTAGTGTTCGATGGGTTAGTACTGGTTTTAGAAGCACAACACTTTATTCTTAAGTTCTCCTTTTTGAAATATTGACAGTGTTTAATCTATTATGTCTTGATCGAAATAGGTCTAGTTACATGTCCGAAACATTTTTTCAACACATAAACGCTTGAAATACATTTAGGTGAGAATTGTGTCTGAAAGCCTGCTACTMAGCCGTAGGCCAGCAGGGGGCGAGCGAMGGCGTTGAAGAAGCTCTATAAAAACGTAAACTTCYGGTTTCATGGCCAGTGTGGGTTTTCTGTTTGCAGACAGCATCAATAAACCTCCACTCAGATTCCAGATTCTGGTGTTGTATGGTTTCATTCCTCCTACAAATCACTTTATTTAACATCTGTGTTTATCATCTCGACTTCAGTTGATTGAATACAAATTTTCTTACAAAAGTTTATATTTTAACAGGGATTTTAAACATGGTGGGGAAAATGTGTATATTAGGTTAATCTGAAAAAAACAACCAGATTTCTTTGCGGTACCGTGAAGAGAGGAACCACGTCGCAAAAATATGAACCGACACCTGGACATGTAGTTTTGTTCAGACTGAATATATTGTGATTATTTGATGTAAATAATTTGGTACATAAACAAAAATAGAGAACTATAAAACTGTTCCAGATTGTTTTGTGACACAGTGATGTCATCAAATGCAAATTAGATCCTTTTATTTGTCATTTTTATGAACTTTGGGTCAAATTTCTTATTAGCCTAAGACCAATGGTGGGCATCACTAACCAAAAAGTTAGCTTGGTTTACTCATAATTTGTTAAATACAAATATAGCTTCTGTAACACTGAATATGTAAAACAATTAAACATGTAAAAATTAGCGGAACACCAACAGCTAATCGCTAACCACTATTATGACTGTCAGTCTGTAACTGTGCTAACAGTTAGTGAAAAATGTTAATCTGCTAAGTAAAAAACAAGTTCTGCTATTAGCTGATTTGCTGAACTCTTGACTAACTCAAACTAAATATATAACTTCAGACTCAACATATAGATTGAAAACAATTGGCTAAAGCTAACGCTAAACAAATAAGAATGAGCAGAAGCTAATACTAACAACTACTGGCTAACTGCTAAGACGACTGTCTCTCAGTTTGTCTCGTCTTTGTCTCCGTCCAGCTGAAGACTGGTGGGACTGACACAGACCTGTGGATGTTAGCTTGTTACTTAGTGAACTTAGATGAATTAGCCTCTGCTAAATTATGTTTTGCCGTCTTTAACAGTTCTCAAAGTTAGCGAAAAACAAATTTGCTAAATGAAAAATGAGTTTTGTTATTGACTGATTAGCAGAACCATGCCCATACTTGTGTTCCGTCTCCGCTGCGCTGCGCTGCGACCTCCGCAGCAAACACACACCCATTATAATCAATCAGAGTGTTTACACTGGCTGCGCACRGCGGCGGTGAGCGGACGGTGATCCGTCAAAATTAGAACAGATCCTAKTTTTGCCGGACGAYGGAGCAGCGCCGGAGTCAATTTTTAAAGATTACGTCGCACCAACAGGAAAAGAAACAAACACAACATCCGTATTTTCAAAATAAGACACTATTAGGCGGAATAATGTCGAAATTGCAGCTATATTAATAAATATACGGATATATTTCTACACAAATGCTGTCAGAATGTATTGTTCTGTTTGAGAAGCAGATGGAAACATGTAGTATGAAGCATATGTGTACACACACGATACACATGGATTTTATTTTGAAATCAGAAGTTTCAGAAAGCCGACAGAGAGACAGTTTCAACATAGATACTAAAAGTCTTTATATCATTGTTTTCAGCTGTTTGGAGTTCGTCTTTCACAGAATTAATTATTTTTTGCTCTGACTTCCACATTTATCAATGAATTTATCACACGATCTGCTTCCTGCACGTCTGTCGGAGCGGAGGTGGTGTAAACTGGACTTGAAATGCACGGATGCGACCTGCACAGCGGAGACGGAACGCAAGTAAAATATGTTTGGTATAATAGATTTTCCACTTCCTTCCCATAATTCCAAAGAAAAATTCACAATTTGAACTATTACTAGAAACTGGTAAAACAAGACCATTTTTTATTTAGTCTCGAAGAAATACACCCTAGAAATGAAAGTGGGTGGACTTGATGTGCGTGCCCCTCCATGTTTTAGTGACAGCAGTCGACATGACGACGAGACAAAGCGTCGGCGGTTTTGCATGAAGCTCCTCAGCTTCTACATATCTGCATATGTCGCACCTTAAGCAGTAACAGTTGTGTCATAACGTCTAACATCGACACTTTTCAAAAGTTCTCCTGATTGTACTAAACTTTTCACGAGGACAGCTCACACAGGAGTCACCTGACTAATGATGCATTCATGTCATGTAGGAAAATAAAGAARCGAATTGTCTGAATGCGATGCTTTCACTGTTCGTCGTTTCTGACCGACAAAAACAATTTAAACTGTTAGCTTTTTACATTTACATTAATATTACTCTCAAACTCACAAACACTAAATATTATCGTTTTCTTCCTGTAGGAAGTTTACATGACGTGTTTTTTTTTCCACAGGACATGAATACATCATCATGTGTTTCACTTCCTGTTCTTGTCGTCGACAGGACGTCCCAGCGTCCGCAGACGGCTTCGCAAAAATCCTCCATCTCAGAATCTCTCCTGATCAAAAACTTCAGGTTGGCTCGACGCGCCACCTCGTCCTTCCTCCGTTTCACTGCTCCGCTCCGGGCGTGTAGTCGGGGCGTCGAGTCTGGACGATCTTCTGCCGCAGGGGGCGGGGCTTCTCGTCCTGGTCACTGTCGTCGGGCGCCGAGCTGTCGCCGTGCTCGTCCTCACAGACGTGGACCACCACGCTGGGTGTGGTGGGCGTGGCCGTGTGCAGCTCGTACTTCTCTCCTGAAAGGTCACAGAGAAGTTTGTTAAAATCACAGCTTTTATTTCAGGTTTCTAAACGTTTTAACTAGAGGTGCAACAATACATGCACCCGTATCTAACAGTGCTTTAGGTTCAATACACACTTGTATCGAACAATACAGATTTTTAAAATTAATTTTATCAACATGTCTTCTGAAGATGCTCTGTGTTGAAGGATCAGTGGATCTGTGTTCGACTACTCCACCTAGGCTGCATTTYTGAGCGCAGATCCACTGAGAAACTTGCTGTTTCAGCAACATTTAATTTAAAAACTGTACTTTTGAGGTTAAACAAATGTTCATAATTAATATAAATAAATTACAAGTTAAAAGGGGCATGAAAATTTCTCTGTTTTGTTTCGAAAAAATATCGAACCGTGAGACTAAAGTATCGAACCGAATTGTGAATTTTCTGTATCGTTGCACCCCTAGTTATAACCTCTCCACCAGATTTAATTCCTAACAAGAAAAGTAGGAGACTCCTTATCTAATATGTTTATGGTTGAATAGTTGGTAACTCAAAACTGCAAGAAAAATGGCTAATTTTTGTCCCGAAGTTTCACTGAACTGATGTTTGTGASCAGCAAGCTATGTCATGTAGTGCAAAAGCCAGTACTTGAAAATCACAGCTTTTGTTTGTGCACAGCCAGAAAACTGYATTCTAGGTCTTGCCACAGGCTCCGCCCACATCGTACCGCTTTATAATTTAATCAACTGAGACAGACTTCTGAAATGATTACAGGCAAATCTGGACATGATTTTTAGTTTTAGACGTTCAGGATTGTAGCCTCAGATGTTTTCTCGACAGATTTAGTGTTGTAGATTTACAGATTTACAATTTGAGATGCTCGGAACAACTCCAACTATTTTACGAGAAAATTGTTCACAATTTTTTTGAGATGAAGATGTGTGACGCAGACAAAGACAGTTGTCTTAGTGGTTAGCTGTTTTTTATTTTTTTATTTTTTTTCATATGCAGCGCTAAAGTCATATTTTTACTTAGCAGATTATGAGTTCTGGAAACTAACTGTTCTATTAGCGGTTCCCATCACTGAAACAAACATAAAACAACAGCTGAGACAACTTCAGGTTGAGAGAGYGAGTCGTTCCGTACCTGGCCCTAGTTTGGAGATGGCGCACAGCAGGTCGTAGTTGATGACCGGCGTAGCATCGTTGGACTGCTCCCAGCCGACAGGAGGAGAGGCAGGAGGAGAGATGAGGAACTGCTTGTCTGGTTTGGGAGGCTCCAGACGAGGACTTCCGATGTGGACAGACTGGAGGACAGGACCACAGATGTCAGATCAGAGACACAGCTGTATGGTGACTTAGTTCTTGGGTGAGCAAATCTTGACAGATTCTTTGTCCAATGAATACAACTCAGAGGAAGACAAATACAACTAGACATGGGTTTTTACGATGTAAAAACAAGTGTGMATTRCCATGTAGCAYGTCATTGCAGCATGGCTTTGCCTGCAGCAATGGACTTACAGAATGAACTTTGACCAAGTTCAAATATGTTTTCTATACCAGCTTGTGCCTGTCACGTCAGCAAGTGTTTGTAATTAAGGTAGTTGTGTGACAATATGAAGTTTGAAGAGATTTTTTCTTAAAGTTGCTTTAGCCGGGTTTTGAACCCTAATCTCCCACATGAAAGTCCATGACATAGACCATTAGACCAATGTAACTGTGGCAGAAGGTGGTGGCAGGGGTTGGTTTGTATGTGTGCAGAAAGAGGCCACATTGCCAAAACAATTATTGACACTAAACTGCATAATATTACAACAATAGAGCAGTATTAAGAC